CGCACCTGCTCGCAGCAGGCCATTCATGAATATTGAGTAATGCACTCGTTCGTTGACACTGACTCAAGTTGGACACTCCAGCTGGCAGGCCCCTCACATCTCCCCCTCTCTCCCCATCTCTCCCCATCTCTCAAGCTGGCGCGCCTCTCGCAGCAGGCCGTCGGGGGCGGCGCGGCGAACGAGGACCAGCAGCCTGGCGTGCCTACGTGCTAAGTACGCCAACCTCGGGGCGGGAAGGGCGGGTCGTCTGGGGGGAGATATGGGGGAGATATGGGGGAGATATGGGGGAGATATGGGGGAGATATGGGGGAGATATGGGGGAAGGGCGATCGCCTGCAGAGCCAGAGCACCGCGTGAGTACGAGGGGCTGCGACGACAAGGGAGTGCGGCGGAGGACGGCCAAACACAAGCGGAGTCCGTGCGCCCTCTCGACGCGCCGGGTGGGGTGCGAGAATGTTAAAGACGGCGCACTCCGCATCTATCCTCGCGTGCTCGGTCGGGTGGATATCTCCCCATATCTCCCCATATCTCCTCATATCTCCGCATCTATCCTCGCGTGCTCGGTCGGGTGGAAGGCGAACGTGGCGAGGGGCGCCTCGGGCTCGTACAGCTGCAGGCAGTGCGGCGCGTCGGAGGCGGAGAGGGCGAGCGTCGCGGCGGAGGGGAGGCTGTAGTCGGCGACGGCGGCGGCGCGCTCGGCGGCGGACGGGCGCTGCCACGTGTCGGCGCTCGGGGTGAGCTGCGCGGGCAGCAGCAGAGGGGGCAGCGGCCCGGCGGCGTCGAGGTGGACCTATTCACAGCTCGAGGTGTGAAGGGTCGCTGCTCACATCAGAGGGGGGCAGCGGCCCGGCGGCGGCGACGTGCACCGCCGCCGCCGGCTGCGCGGGCGACGCCGGCGGTGCCTTCGGCGGCGCCTTTGGCGGGAGATATGGGGAGATATGCGGAGAAATGCCGGTGCCTTTGGCGGGAGATAGGGGGAGATATGGCGGGAGGTATGGGGAGATACGGGGAGATGCGGCGGTGCCTTTGGCGGGAGCGCGTGCGCCAGCTCCTGCTCCCGCGCCACCGCCGCCGGCGGCTGCGGCGGCTGCGACGCGGCGGGCGGCGGCGGCGGCGCGGGCTGCTGCTGCTGCTGCTGCTGCTGCAGCTGCTGCCGCTTGGTGAGAAGCATCTGGTCGATGTCCCAGAGGCAGAGTCCGGCGGCGCCCTCGCAGATCGTCCCGACGAGCCCGCGCTGCGTCGCGCACCAGCCAACCTGGAGGAGGCCTCGGCTCTGCGCCGCCCGCCCGCCCGCCCGCCCGCTGCTCGCCGCGTCGGCGGCAGAGAGGGTGAAGAGTGGAGAGCCGTGCGCAAGCCGGCGCAGGTCCCACCTGTTGCGGGAGAGTGCGGGAGATTGCGGGAGATTGCGGGAGATTGCGGGAGATCGCGGCCGGCGCAGGTCCCACCCCTTGACGAGGCCGGTGGGCGTATCGGACGCGTCGGAGAAGGTGAGAAGGCGGTGCGGGTCAAAGCTGTCGAACACGACGCCGTACACGGCCTGTGGGGAGATATGGGGAGATATGGGGAGGTGCGGGGAGGTGCGGGGATCTCCCCAGATCTCGCCTTTTGGTGCGCGTGGCACGCGAGCTGCTCGTCGCGCGCCCGCGCGTCAAAGAGGCGGAGCCAGCGGAAGGACGTGCCGACGAGCAGCGAATGCGGCGAGAGCGGCAGCCACGAGGCGGCGACAGCGGCCTCGGAGTTGGCGAGCGGCGCAAACGCGTGCGCCTGTTGCGGGAGGCTGGGGGAGGTCGCGGCCGGTTGCGGCAGAGGGTGCGGCAGGCCGCGGGAGATTGCGCGAGATTGCCGAAGGGACTGTCCGCACGGCGGAAGCGGTCGATATGTCGTACCCGATGGAGTGGGAGCCGCCGCCGCCGCCGCTAACGCCGCCGCCCGCCGCGCCGCCCGCCGCGCCGCCCGCCGCGCCGCCGCGGCTGGCCCGCGGGCTTCCCGAGCGGCACGACTCGCCGACGCCGCCGCACGGCCACGCACCGGCCGCGCCTCCGCCTATGAATTCACAGCTCCATCACTCCTCGGTGATGCTGACGCCGCCGCACGGCCACGCACCGGCCGCGCCTCCGCCGCCGCCGCCTCCGCCTCCGCCGCCGCCTCCGCCGCCACCGCCGCCTCCGCCTCCCTGCGGCGTGCGGCTGAGTGCCGGCTCAAAGGCGGTTGCGTCGCGCTCCACGTCCCACACGAGCACGCCTGTTCACCGCTGCAGGTGTGAAGAGACGCTGTTCACAGCTGCTCTCTGAACACGTCCCACACGAGCACGCCTGTTCACAGCTGGAGGTGTGAAGAGACGCTGTTCACAGCTGCTCTCTGAACACGTCCCACACGAGCACGCCGTAGTCGCGCCGGTCGCGATCGAGCCCGGCGGCGATGAGCTGTGGAAACGCGGGGTTCCAGGCGAGAGAAAAGCAGACGCGCTGCTGGCGAGGCACAAACTCGCGCACCTAGAGCGTTGCGGCCACTCCCCGACTCAGAGTCGCTGAGCACGCACCGCTGCTGCCGAGGCAAGACACACACACGCCGCGCACCTATTCGGCAGCGAGTTAGCCGGCGAGTCACGGCCGACTAGCGGAGACGCCGTCTCGAGCGCTGCCGCCCGAGGCGACACGCGGGCGCACCGGCGGCGCCTCCGCCGCCGCGGCGCTGCGCGGCGTGCACTCGTGCAGAACCATCCGGCCGGTGGCGGTGCCGATGGCGATCGTGAGAGGCTGGTCGGCCCGAGGGCTCCAAGTGGCGCAGGTGAGCTGCGAGACGTCGCTCACAGACGAGACAGGGCGCACGCTCTGCTCGCTCCGACGCGGCGCGAGGCTCTCCAGGCCGACGCTGTCGTCTGCAGGCGCGCCTGCGGACAGGCGGGCGGCGACTTCTGCTGGCGCGAGGCGGTGCAGGAGCGAGGGGCGCTGTGGGCGATGAGCGCGGCTGGGCGTGCGGCGAGGGTGGTCGCAAGGGGGTGGGAGGCGCGAGCAGTGATTGCGTGACCGCGGACCGTCAAAATCGACCTCGTCTCCGGCCGCAGGCCCGTGCTGGAAGGCGTAGATGGAGAGCTTGTCGGAGGTTCCGATGGCGAACTGTCCCGCCGCGTGCGGCGACCACAGGAGCGTGGGCTTCTGCTCGCGCGAAGACCTCATGGCTTCGAAGGCAGCGGCGCGCAACACACCGCGAGCCGGGCGTGCTCAAGCCGTGCCTCGGAGTCAAGAGAGAGGCGTTCGGCGGCGGCTTCTCGAGAGCGCACCGACGCCGGCGAGGGCTGAAGCTCCTCTCACAACGCAACTTGGCACCCTGTCCTCCTCCCTGCCTGGGTTCCGGCTCCTACCGGATAGGGGGTCTGTGCGCACTGGCTGGCCCCTCCCAGATAGGTAGGTAGGTTGGTCTTGTTTGGCCCAAAGGGGCCCTGCAATAGGTAGGTACCGCTATTTTCATCTTTTTTCGCTTCGCTGCGCGGCCTGGGGATAGGTAGGTAGGTAGGGCGTTTTGGCGCGAGTCAGTGCCGACAGACCCCCTATCCGGCTAGGAGCCGGAACCCTGCGAATAAAGAATTTTCTTCCTGCCCTCACAGCACGCTGGCACTCCCTAGAGGGGAGCTCGATAGACTCGAGGGGCCAGGATACGCCGCGAGGAGGACGGAGTTGCGCCGAAAGGCGAAAGAAGCCGCGAGAGAGAGAGAGAGAGAGAGAGAGAGAGAGAGAAAACCGCCAATGGCCGTTATCCGTTAGTGCGGACGTCGCCGCGGCTCGGCTCTGCCGCGGCGGCTGCTGCGCGCACGCGGCGGCGCCGCTCTCTCGCGAGACGGCTGGCGACGCGGCTCGCGGCCGACGTACGGTGCGCTCGTCCGACGGTCCGCAGCGTGGCGTGCGCGGCGCTGAGCGCCGCTCTGCGAGCGCCTCTGCGCCTGCACTGCCTGTCTCTGTTGCTGTTGGTGGTGGTGGTGCTGCTGCTGCTGGTGCCGATGCTGCTGCTGGCGCGGCGCGGCTGTGCGACTGGGCTCGACGCGCGCGTCGCGAGCGTCTGACGCGGCGGGCGGCGTCGGGCAGGTGCGCTTCTCTCTCGGGTGGTGGTGGTGGTGCTGCTGCTGCTGCTGGTGGTGCAGATGCTGCTGCTGGTGCGGCGCGGCTCTCCGACGCGACTCGATGCGCGCGTCGCGGCTATCTGACGCGGCGGGCGGCGTCGCGGGCGGCAGCGGTGGCGGCTCGCGGGTGGAGGTGGAGGCTGGTGGCTGTGGTGGACTTTGAGTTTATTTCATGGTCGTGTACGGGGACCGGGGGGTCAACCGGGAGGCAGGGGGTTCAACCAGGCGACGGCGGACCGTGGGCCATCGCGGGGACCACTCAGCCCGGAGGGCGAACCCGATAGATCCGGATGGTCTCACGCCGGTGGGTGGCACCGAGGCGTCTTGGACGCTCAGCTCTACCTTAAGCTCCTGAGGGGCGCGTGGTTGTAACCACGTAGTATGACTACAACCCACCACAGACACCCTCCCCCACTCCTCACGTGTGTTCACACCCTCACCCTCTCCTCTCTCCTCTCTCTCTCTCTCTCTCTCCTCTCTCTCCTCTTGTCTGTGCTGTCTGCCTGACTCAGGCACTCAATCTGCCGATGCGTGATTGTGTGTGGGCTGCTCCGAGGGGGTCCTCTGTGCGATCCGACGGGTAGGGGGGCTGTGCCCGGGCGGTGTCCGGTGTGGAGTCCCCTTCTGATCCCGCCTGGGATGTTGGGTGTGAGGTTGTGGCGGCTTCGATCCCAAGGGGGGGGAGCTGATCCCACTCAATAACCAACTCTCAGGGGCAGTAGGTGGGCGAGCTTCAGGCACGCTCATCTCGATCGTCAAGACGTTGCTACGCGCGGTCTTCCGCGGGGGGAGCTGCGTCGACGGGTGCGGGACCGCGGCGCAGCCAGTGCCGTGGCGATGCCTCCGGCTGTTTGCGGCGGGCGGCTTGCTGCTCGCTGCGATGGCGAAAAACTCGTCTCGCCACACGCCAAGGGCTTATGCTCTGGCGAGACGTGAGGCGCATGCGCCCAGGAGGGGAGGGGGCATGTGTAACGACACTGCTAGAGATGCCTTTCGGGGCCCAGAGATAAAACTTCTGTGATGCCATGCGTGACCTAGTAGTGTCCCCAGCTATGGGCGTGTCCACGTTGGAGCCAGGTGTGGTGTGGGCGCGAGAATAGCTCCGCCGTTCATGGAGGCAACCGATGCGAGTCGACTGGTGTGTGTCGTCGTGGTTTCGTATCAAGAATTCTCTCTCTCTTCTCAGAAGCCGCGAGAACAAGGGACCGGCAGGCGGCGGCGTCGCAGAGGACGAGGCAGAAGAGAACGACGCGACAGAGGAGGAAGTGACAAGGGAGAGAACGACGAGAGTGGGACGGCCGCGAGGTGGCATGAAGGTTGCAGCGAGAAGCGGCGAGAGACTGCGAAAAGAGATACGAAGAGGCAGACTCCCCAGGGTGGGCGACGGCTAGCGCATCACACTCTCCTCTCCTTAAAATCCCTGTGTGGTGGCGGCGTGCCGTTCTCCCATCCCTCCCTTGGGTTGTGTGTTTTCTTTCTTTCTTTTTGGCACTCCCTAGGGTGGGCGACGGCTAGCGCATCACACACCTCTCCTTAAAATCCCTGTGTGGTGGCGGCGTGCCGTCCTCCCATCCCTCCCTTGGCTTGGCTGTTTTCTTTCTTTCTTTTACGCTGGCATCCCTTGTCAGGAGCAGCAGAGCCCCACCTGTGCCCCTGATCGTCCTTCCAAAATCCTGTTCGTGCAGGTGTGGACCCTGTCCTCCTCCCATAAATAAAATAAATAAAACGGACACACCAAACAAGGGGTGGGAGAAGGACAGGGTCCCCACCTGCGCGAGCAGGATCTTGTAAGGACGATCAGGGACACAGGGGAACGGGAGCGGGGAGCGCATCGCGACACGGAGGGGGGCTGGGCAGGGTTCACCCACACACGACAGGGTCCCAGGGATTCCCCTCTCGTATAGGACAAAGTTGCACCCGGCGGCACGGGGGCAGGCGCGGGCCTCCTATACTGGTTGCGCTCTCCTAGTTCTCCTGCTACTGACAAAAGGGACAGCGACAGGTTCGCAGCACGGTGGACTCCCTATTCCACTGGCAATCTCTCTCGACTAGCGACCTTCCTCCGGCATCTCACTGGCAGTCTCTCACTATCACGGGCACACTGACAGAGGGAGGCGGCCAAGGCTCACGCCGAGGGTGGCAGAGGCGGTGATAGGAGTCTCCCACTCTGTGGGCTTCGCTAGTGGTGCGGCCTACGCGTGTCCTCGCCCTTGCGGTCTTGAGAGGGAAGGGGAAGGGGCTGTGTGTCTGCGCATGTGTGTGTGTGTGCATGTACATGTTGTTGTTGTTGTGTGTGGGGGGGGGGGGGGGTAGCCGTCACTTTCCTGCCTCGAAAGGGCGGGGCTGTCCCGGAAAGTGAGATACGCCGGGCAGCGTGGCGCACAACTGAACCCTCCCATACGTGTTTGTTTCGGCCTCCTCCTTTGCTGTCCCATCTCCTCATCTCTTTCCCGCCTGGGCGGGGCAGTGGGCGGGCGCGCGGTGCGGTGTGGCGTGTGCGCGTGTGCGACTGCGACGAAGGACCGCTCGCAGGACCATCGGGCTTGTATTATTAACAACGAAGGCGCTCTCAAAAGAGAAAAAAGGAAAGGAAAACAGACAGGGTGCGAGAGGCAAACCTTGTTGAGCCCAAGCTGGCAAGATGCGCCGTCTCGGAATCCTCTTCTTTCTTTTGTTGTAAAATTCTTTTGTTCCATTCCTTTGCCCATGGGCTAAGTGCCAAGACAATTACGAAGCAATTGCGGTCGTTTGCTGTGTGCCGAGTTGCAACGAACGCCCAAATCACGAAACTCGCCCAAAAGTCGCGCGCGCGAAGAACACCGCCGCGTCAGACGGTGCGCCCGCCAGCGCGCCCGCTCCAGCGCCAGCCCGAAAGAGCAGCGCTCTTGCACAGAGACGCCACTGCATCCCTCCACCTCCTACACCGAAGCTCTCTGAGCGGGCTGCGCCCACGTTGCAGACAGACGCCAGCCCCGGCGCGCACAGCCCACGACGACCTCTCCTCCATGCAGGTGCAATGTTGCTCTTCGAGGGTAAGGGCCGCACGTCGTGGCTCAAGCGAGTTGCCATCGCATTCCTCGGCCTTCTTGGGACGGTGAGCCGCGTTGACGCTTTTGCGTCGATAGAACCGTCTGTTTGCCTTGAAGGCTTTTTCGGGGAAGTTAGCGATGGCCCAAGGACGACGGTCATTGACATTGCCCAGACCGACTCGTCTCTCACGGCGATCGGATTGATGTCCTCGGACACGGGTTCGTTCGTCCCAGTGCTCCACTACTTCCCCACCCTCTCGGAAGACACTACCGTGATGCGTGGGGGGGTCGCCGGCCCAGGGAACGATGCGACCTGTGTGGCACCCGGCGGCGGCGGCCGCGGAGCCGCCCTGGCCGATTGTGCCACGTACGTGAAGACTGCCTACGACCCCGCATGTGATCTCACCCTCGATGCGGACGTTGAGGCTGCACTCATCATGGGCATGTTCGACGCCAGCAGCGGCTTGTTCACTACCGGCGGCACTTACATCCCTTGCGAGCAGCACGTCTTGACCCAGGAGCAGTACTGCTACTGCCCGGGCTATGAGGCGGCGAACGTGGCCGGGCCGTGCGAGTGAAAGTCTACTCACTCCCCGCGAGAGCCCTCGCTCACACGCCTAGAACAAAGAGAGAAAGCACACAGCCCCCCAACGGCCCGCAAGGGAGGGATGGGAGGACGGCACGCCGCCACCGCACACTCAGGGCTGCTGCGTGACGCGTGGCTCGGCTCCGGCCTCCGCGAACGCTTGTGAATTTTCTGTGATTTTCTGGTGCCAAAATCACTTGTTTGCAGGAGTTCGGGTACACACGAAACCTGCACGAAACGCGAGATGTGCCCCGGGGCTGCCCCACAAAACCTGGTATTTGTGGACCTCCCGCACCTTACCCTTACAGGCCACCATAAGGGACCCCGTTGTCCGTTTGACACCAGACTTTTTTTGAGTTGGAGGTAATAATTAAATGGATTACACTGTCCCAAAGAACTGATTCATTCATTTAACCCTCACATAGTTACAATACCTCAAAGTTGAAAACCTCCAAAATAGGCTGTCAGGACTCTGTCAGGACTCCGTCAGGACTCTGTCAGGGGTCTGTCAGGACTCTGTCAGGACTGTCAGGAGAGTTGCGGGAGGTGCACAAACAGGGCGGCGGGTGGTTTGGGCGACTAGACTTCGCCCTGCCGCCGGAGGCAACAGGAAAGAAGAAAAGTCGATCCCAGTGAAAGAAACCAGGATGGTACGGCCGCCGGCATTTTTCTCTTCTCTTGCATGGGCGAGGTTTCAATGTGAAATCAAATGACGTGTGAGTGTTAGAGTTGTTTGGTATTGCTAAAAATCTCTCTCTCTCTCTCTCTCTCAATGTGACCGTGCACACTACAAGTGCTCCAAGTGGAAGTGCGCTAGCTGCCTTGCTCGATCAAGACGTTGGCGCACGCTGGTCGCTGGCTCTGTCCATATATTCGGATCTATCCAACACGCCCACCCGACTCGAGCAGCGCCACCCCTCCCATGTAGGGCTGCACCGCGCAGGCGAGGCTGCCCGGCGCCGCCGACACGCCCGCGACCGCGACGCCAACCTCCTCGCCGTTGAGGAGGTAGACGATGTCCGTGCGGCTCGCCCGGCCGCCGCCGACCGCCGGCCGCAGGAGCACCTGGTGGGGTGTGGGCAGGTGGGTCGGGTGGGGATGGTGCAGGGCCCAGAGCCTTCGGCACTGCTGCAGGCGGGAGAGGGGCTGGGGCTCAGCGGAGGTCACCTCGACCAGGTCTCCCTCGCCATACGCGGGGCCGAAGGGCCGCTCGCCGTGCTCCGCGTCCGCAAACGCGCCGCTCGCCAGGTAGGCGCCGAGCGAGGCCGCGTTCTTGCCGAGGCTCTTGAACGGAGGCCGCATGCTGCGCGGGACCACGCCGACCGCAAAGCCGCCCACGCCCAGCCGGATCGGCCGCACCGCCCAGCGGACGTCGGGTGGCGCGCCGGCGCGAGCAGACTTATGCACCAGCGCGGCGCCGTAGCCCGCCACGCCGGTCGTGGCGACGGCCCGCCCGCTCGCCGACACGCTCAGGTGCTGGTGCCGCCTGGACTGGTCAAAGACGTGGCGTCCGGCCGGCGCCGCGGCTTCGCACGCCCGAAAGACGTCGGCCTCCCACGGCGGGATGTCGGACAGCCGCTCAGTCGGCGGAGGAGCGGCGGCGTCACTGGAGGCGGCGGCGAGGCGAACGGACTGGCGCTGCGGCAGTCGTCTCTCAGCCGCGCTGGTTCGTCGGCGTTTGGCCAACTGCGGCGCACTCGGCACGGGCGAGCCGAGGCCGAGCGCCTCGAGTGTGCGGTGGTTTGCTCGGATGTTGCGCGCACGCTCCTGCTCGTACGCGGAGAGCTCGCTCATCGTGTGCCGGGTACACGGCGTTCGGGCGTGAAGTCGACTGCCCCGTACAGCTGTGAGCAGCCGAGAGGGCGCGAGTTCTCTCGAGGTGGATAGCGCGGGTGGGTTGGAGGGAGGCTCGCTGCAGGGAAGGGCTGTGTAAGAAGCCGATCCCCGTAGTCCGCCCCGCTCCTCCCCATCGGGCCGCGTGAGCGGCCACGCCTCGCAGATTCGTTTTCGCGCCTGGGTCAGGCGCGCGGGGCATCCCCCGGGTCGCTCGACCAGCGATCCGAAGAGTGGCCGCTATGCGAGGGAAAGAGCGGGGCCCTCGACGCCTCAGTCCGGCCCTCCGACGCTCCGAGGGGGGAAGGGAATTGCGGGGTCCCCACGGGCGCCTCGTGTGAGAGATTTTTATTAACCAACAAGAAATCACGACTCTTCTTCTTCTCTACTAGCACGCGCCAGTTCGCACCTGTGTCGAGCCTGTCTGCTGTGAGAGAGAGTTGTCTTGTTTAAATTCTTCTTCTCTTATTAATCTCTCGTGTGCCGCACGCCGGGAAAAATCGTACCCCCGCGAAGAGAGAGCGTCTAGCGAGCTCAATAGCGAGGCCTGCGTGGGCCGCGTCACACCAACAAATGCTCGCTACAAAACGCGGTGTGGGATACATATCCACCTCGCGGGGGGGGGGGGGGGGGGGGACAGCCCTCGAGGCCTCGAGAGAGGCTGTGGCGCAATGTCGGGAGATCAGAAACTTGCGCCATCCACTTCTCCACGCTCCTCTCACCACGTCCATATGCGCTCCGATACGTCACAGCACGCCGTCTATCTGAGCTTTAACTTCGCCGCTGCCGTATGCATCGTGCTGATTAACAAGGCCGTCTTCTCGCGGATCAACTTTGGCTTCTCCACGACGCTCACGCTGGCGCACTACGTGCTCAACATAGCGGGCCTCGAAGCGTTGCGCCTGTGCGGTGCGTTCGAGCTGCGCCCGCTGCCGCTCAATACAAGCACTGCGGTCCTCACCGTCGTCGTCGGCGCCGCGCCCGCCATCAACAACCTCGCTCTGAAGCTGAACGACGTTGGCTTCTACACGACCTGCAAGCTGCTGGTGACGCCGTGCATCGTGGTGCTCGAGCTGGCCCTCTTTAGCAAGCGCGTCTCGCTGGTGCGCGGCCTCTGCCTCGCCGGCGTCTGCGCCGGCGTCGGCGCCGCCTCAGTCTCCGACTTCAGCCTCAACCTCCCAGGGCTGCTCGCGTCTCTGGGCTGGGCGCGGCTCGCCGCGGCTTTGGCTGCCCGAGTCAGGCGAGTCACGTCCGCGACTCGCCCATGGCATGTCACAGGTCCCGATCGCCGCAGCGTACAAAGTGCTCTGGTCGCGCGTGGCCAAGGGCGAGGCGGGAGGCGAGCCGTGGCACACGCTGGCGCTGATGCGAGCGGTGCTGCCGTGGTCGACGCTCGTCATTGGGGCGATGGTGCCGCTCGTCGACCCTCCGGGGCTGCTGCAGTGCGAGCCGGCACGCCGAGGAGACGAACAAGGCAGGCGTGGAGCCGCCCACAGCCTGCTCGGGCCCCTCCCTTGTAGGTACGAGTGGACCGTCGAGCGCGCTGCGCTGCTCGGCGCCTCCTCCGCCGGCGCCTTCCTCGTCAACTGGTCGGGCTTCCTCGTGATGGGCGCCTGCTCCGCGCTCACGCACACCATCCTAGGCCAACCACGCCTCCTCCCTCCCCCCCTCCCCAGACTCTTCTCCCTGCCTGCTCGCCCCGAGCCCCTCCCAGTCTCAGACCTCTGACCTGCCTGCGCGGGCGCCAGGGTTGGCGCACTAATGTTAGAACGGTGTTGGCACGTTGACGGCGACCGCCCCCTGTGCCGAGGTGTTAGAATCTGCTAACACCGACCTTCGTGCCACCTGTTCGACACAGTGTGTGCACAGTGCTGGCCCTGAGGTGTGCTAACATCAGTGCACCAACCCTGGCGCCCGCGCAGGCCAGCTCAAGTCGTCGGCCGGCATCATCGGCGGCTGGCTCGTCCTCGGGCAGATCTACCCGCTCAAGTCAATCCTCGGCGCCTCCCTCGCCGTCCTCTCCGTCGGCGCCTACACCCGCGCCAACCTGAGCGAGGCGGATGCCGCGAGGGCCGCCAAGGCGAGGTGCAGGTCCGTGGGCACCGCAGACGATGTGCCCGCAGATCCCCCCCTGCTGCCGCCGAGAGGGGCGGCATAAATGAGAGGATCTGACAGATGAGCTTTTATCGACGCGTTTATGAGAACGAATATGTGAGATGTACTCAACTCTAATTCGTGGTTTCGTCGTCTCCACGGTCGGCAACGATTCTCATGCCCACACAGAAAGGACCAAAATGATGTACAAAGTTGCTGAGGCCTCTGGCAAGCAGTTTACTATGTAAACCCAATTTTGGTGTTTATAACATTTTTGGCTGGCCGCCTGGCAGCGGGGGGCCAGCCCCCGCCATGGGCCCCGCCGGCTGCGCGCACGGAAAATCTCCTAAGTCGATTTGTACCGGATTTTGAAGATTTTGGCAAAAGTGCGAAACCGAAAATGGCGTTTAAATTTGCGCACCTGCTGTCCGCCGCCTGCGGCGGCGCTGCGCGCCGCTGGCGCGCGCTGCGCGCGCGTTTTTGTTTGGGGTGCAGCGGCGCTGCGCGCCGCCGTAGGGGCGCCTGGGGGGGGCCTGCACAAAGGATGCGAGCTCGAGCACATCGACGCAATCGACGGCGGCATCGAGGAGGGGATCAACCTGCGTGGGGGGCGGTTCCGCAAAATAGGATGGCGCAAGGCTTGTCTTTTTGACCTGCACGGCGCGGGGACTGCCCCATACCCCTTAAAAAAGTTTCCGGCCCAGAGTTCTCCC